GTGACTAGGTAGACTTGGTGTGAAATCGACACAAACAATAGCCAAAGAAAACAACCTGCAAGGTAAACCTTTGTGGAAAACATAATTCTCCAATCTATGCAGGTTTGGAAACATATTAACAACTGCCCTGTGCTTAAGGGTGGGAATCATTTCAATTTTATCAATTCATATTCTTATCGATTCCCTGTTTCGATTCCAAAATTGGAAAAAAAGCTATATTTAGTTAACAGAAATATCTTAACTTAATATTCACATTCAGTAAACAGTATTTTCAGGTTGTCCATCCAAATGTATGTATATTCGTCTGTTCCATTATCGTGGACACAATATCTCACTAACACCTTGACAGATTTGGTACAAACATTCAGTTGGACTAATGAACAAACTGATTTGATTTTGATAGTCAAAAGTCAAGGTCATGGTGACCTCACAAACACGTTTTAACACTGTTCTAGCAAATGGGAATGCTGTGCAATTAGCACTGACATAGTCTCTTGACAGGTCCTGGAAGATAGTTATGTACTGTATGTTCTTGCAGATACGTAGAAATCGATAAGTAGAGCCGATCCTTTGCATTTTGGATGTGGTTCTAATTTGGAACCATGTTTTGGTCCCCACCTATACTGGGGTCAGAATTATTCAAGCTAATGTAAGCTCAATTTCAGGCTGAGGGCTGACACTTGGTTGTGTTTGGCTCTCATAAATATCCTTTGAAAAGAAATGCTGAAGACTATTAGGGCAGCAGTTCCTCTGTTCTGGTTTGTATCTTATACGCAATTAGAGAAGAGCAATATTTCAACTACAAACCCTTATTTTAGTGCACACTGATTATTTTTACACAAAACTCCTTGAAAACACTGCACTCACCTCTGGTTTGATGAAACATCTTTGTACAGCTCTAAGGGACCTGGCCCCAAGGAAGGAATGGCTGCAACAGATCTTTCGTGACTATTCCACTGAAACAGACACATAAACAACAAACTGGTGAGGGTCTAACGAGGTGAAAATAAGCAGTGCATGGCACAGAGGCTGTTCCAAACCTCACATGTGTTTATTTTGTCATTAACTCTTAAGCATACATTACTCAAATATGACTTTTTGTAGTACATTTTTGAATATCTCTGCTACCGTAATTACATAATATAAATCGATACAAGACCACAAAGCCAATGAAGTAAAATGAAATGAATTAATAACTTCAAATGAATTAATAACTAACTTAATTAATAATTAATAAATTCTTTCTCCACACCTGCATCCCTCGGCTTCAGAAGAAATAGCATCAGTGCACACCAAGCCTCTATTGAGATAAAAGCAGAACTGTTTGCTGTGGTGTGGAGAGAGAGCAGCAGTTGTCGAGTGAGCTAGAGAATATACCTATATCTATACCTATAAATTATAACCTGTTTTTATTTATGTATTTTATTTTTCTTAATAATCATATTCTTTTTTCACATTTCATTAGACAATATTGTTCACCTGACATTGATGACTAAAGCATTCTGAAGTGAAAAGAAAAAAATGAAATTGCATTGCAAACAGAGGGAGCAGCGCTGGATAAAACAAAGTGAGGGGGTGAAGTATTTTATGAAACATGGTGGTGGTAAGAAAGCCCTAAAAAAGTATTACTGCCCTAAAACAGATACTGACTCAATTGTTCTTATCTGCATGCTAGCTAATGTCCAGAGTAAATAGCCTTGACTCTGATGGCAGTTAAATAGCTAAATTAAACTTAGGCCTACCTAACTACCAAGTTAGCTAATGGTAGTTTGCAAGCTAACCTGTTGTTTGAAGGCAAACAATGTTTTTCCACTTCAGTAAGTATACGTATTTATATTCTAAATGCTAAACTACTAAAATATCCGAACACCAATGGTGGACAAAAGTTTCACTATTTCATACAGGCTATGAATTACCTAGACAAAACCTGCAGTCACTGTGCTTAATTTTTACTTTTCACCAGGCAAGAAAGCTGCAACTTTATCAAATGAAATCATAATTTAAGAAAAATAAAAAATTCAAAAGCAATATTAAAAAAATAATACCAACTCACCTCCTCATTAACTTTGAGTGAATCAGCGGGAAACTCAGTCTGTGGGCAGGTGCGTCCCTCCGCCGAATGAAGTAGTCCACTGTTGTTTTCTACAGTGTCAATATTTCAGCTGGCAGGGGATTACTGCAGCCTTAACTTCTGTGGATAGCACCATGCTTCAACAGTCCCTGACAAAAATCTTGTCACTTATCCATTTTGTAGAAACAACAGCTTATAACCTGACTTTTAATTAATCCATTGGTTTTAGAAATGGCTCATATGAAAGCTAAAACCCTCCCAAATTATGTTTAATATACTAAAATAAATTGATCATCAGAAAGATTGAAAGATTGATCATTTAATGAACACAGAAAGGTCAGATTTTGGCAAGACAAAAATTTTGTTGCCTACAGAGAGTAATGTGAAAATTGAACAAATAATTTACTTCAAATACAAAAATATGTTGCATAACATCAGTGAATTAAGTAGTGGTGCTGTGAGATCCATATTTAATATCTTGTATGACTTCCATGAGCTTGAAGGACTGCATCCATGCGGTTCGACAATGATTCATACAATTTATTGATGAAGTCATCAGGAATAGCAAAGAAAGCAGTCTTACATGCCTCCCAGAGTTCATCAAGATTCTTTGGTTTCGTCTTCCATGCTTCCTCTTTCATTCTACCCCAGACATGCTCAATGATGTTCATGTCTGGTGACTGGGCTGGCCAGTCCTGGAGCACCTTGATCTTCTTCGCCTTGAGGAACTTTGATGTAGAGATGAAAGTATGCGATGGAGCACCATCCTGCTGCAAAATTTGACCCCTTTTATGGTTGGGAATGTAAGAGGTAGCTAATACTTCTTGATATTTTAGGCTATTGATATTGCCTTCCACCCTGCAAATCTCTCGCACACCCCCATACTGGATGTAACCCCAGACCATGATTTTTCCGCCACCAAACTTAACTGTTTTCTGGGTGAATCTCGGATCCATGCGGGCTCCAGTAGGTCTCCTTCAATATTTGCGGCGGCTGTGATGTAATTCAACCGAAGATTCATCTGAGAAATCCACCTTCTGCCACTTTTCCAGCGTCCATCCTTTTAGCAGGCTGTGGGCCTTGGCAAATGCCACACGTTTTTTTAATTGCCTTTTGTTTAGTGCTGGTTTCTGGGCACTGAGTCGACCATGGAGGCCATTTCGAGACAGAATTCTACAAACTGTCCTGGTTGACACGGGGACTTGAGGTGACCAGGCCTGGTGGAGCTCTGCTGCAGTGGAAAAGGGGCTGGCCTTGGATTTTCGACCCAACAAACGGTCTTCCCGAGCAGTTGTCTTGCGGGGTCTGCCGGACCTGGGCTTGTCAAAAACATCTCCAGTCTCTTCAAATCTTTTTCTTATTCTTTGTACTTGACGCTGAGACACATTGAAGGTGTCAGCCACCTCAGCAGTGGATCTGGTCTTCAGCCTCTTGATAATCAACGCTTTGGTCTCAGGGTGAATCTTAGGCATGTTGTCAGAGGTCAAGTTGCAGTTGATGTGAAGGTCTGGTGTGCTGGGGTTCTTTTTATACACACCCACTAATTGATTGATCGATTATTGATCAGAGGTGAGGCTGTAATCTAGGATTGGGTGCATCATATGACAAGGCGACAAGACTTTTGTCTTTGCAAAAACTGACTCAGTGGACTTTACCAAGCTGTGAACGTTTGGCACGTTTCGTTTGGCACCAAAACATTATTTCAAAAGCTGTTGGGATTGAAATTAGCCATTTCTTGTAAAAAAAAAAAAAATTGATTACAAATATATTTGAGGGGCACTTAAGGTCAACTTGTACCCAAGTGACAAGACTTTTGTCAGGGACTGTATATTATTGGTTTCATAGTAATAGTTTGTCTCACTTAAAAATATCAGCAACCCGTCTGTATTTCCTTGGCACCTCAGCCCCAACCTCCCTACTCCTGCTTCCCTTTTTTTCAACTTAAAGACCTGAGTTCAATGAACTCTAACTTGATAGGGATATCATATTTTACAATGTGGCTCCAGTAGGAAAACAAGACTTGTCAGATGACCAACAGATCACCTTACAGTCTAAGCACCACTTATGTTGATCATGTGTTTTGCTACTGCCTTACATGGGCACTTTTATATACAATTTGGATATACTAATTGTACATTTTAAAAATCATTTTAATTTTCTTTATGATGAGCCTAACCACTGCCTTGCAACTCCATGAAAGGTCCAACCTCAGGTATGTACAGACCTACCATATATTCATATTAATGATGCACCAGGATTTCAGATTCAGCTTTGCAACATTTTTTTAGAACAAGATCATTTCAATTTTGCAGGCAAAGTACATTTTAAAAAAATATCCTAAATTTCATATTTAGACAGAATCCATCAGTTTCAATGCCTCCAGTCACGTTGAAACGGCAGGCATTTTAATTTACAAATTTGGTAGAAGTAGTCCAAGTACAGTGAAATCACATAAACAGCAGGTAGATGATAGTCGTTTTAAATATTCTCTGAAGTAAGCTTAATTGCAGTTTGCATGGTCATAAATCTTAATTTTGCATTCAATGTGTAATTAACACTTCTTTATTATAATCTCGCGTTTTGACAATAGTTTGTATATATATACATATATAAATATATATTATGTTATCACTATATTATAGTTTGTTTATAAACAAACTATATATACATTTTTCCCATTATTTTTTCCCCAGCATCTCTTTCTGTGACAATAATGTGACAAATGCTGTATGTGGCAACCTTTGTTATTATTATTATTATCATTATTATTATTATTATTATTATTATTATACAATTGTGATCTAATATTATAAAAAAATATGTAATGATTATTGTTTTGATTACTTCAGTTTTACTTGACTAACAACAACAGTGACAGTGATTAATGAACTCTACAAACTGTAGAAGTGACCAGGCCAATTATACCCACCTGCGCTCTGGGGGACTTGGGCCCTGTTCACTGACAGTGTACTGTGGACGGCTTGAAGATCGTTGCGGGTGAAGAGTCCGGCACTGACGAAGGTCACATGCAGAATGCACAAACAGAAGACTGCCAGCTTCATCCTGCCTGTGCCCAGCTCCTGCTCCTCCGATGCCAGAAAGGAGCCCAAAGAGGGGACAGCACGCGTTGGGTCGGCGGCTGTAGCGCGTAAATCCTGCTTGTTATGGTGATGTCTTGCTCTGTCTCTGCTTCTCACTCCACTCCGACTTAAACTAATTTGAGAGGCAGGCTTACACATGCAAAGTGCACGCCCTTCTTTGTCTTCACGCCTCTCAGCATCATAAACACCAGTGACCTACGCGGTTTTAGTTTAGATTGGGCTCTAAGTAACAGATCACATTCTCACACATTTGAACTTACTGTAGCCTATTGCAGAGGCTATGGCTTGTAAATACATATACACTTTATATTCTAACTACAATATTATATGGTATAAAATAATAAATCTACTCTTAACGTTGTATATGCTGAATTCCTGGTCCCAGTAAACTAATTTAAGTAACAACGGTTTACCTTTTAACTATTGATTATAAAACAGAAGATCATCATTCAAACAGCATTATGCAGAGTCGAAGAACACTAATACTGTAGTGCTTTATACTCATAAAGTTTCACAAAAAGCTGTCCCTGTGAGAAAGACTTGAATATTGTGATAAAGAATATCATTTCTCTGGTTTTCTCAGGCCTTTCTCATTGCCTCTAAACCTATTTGGAACTGTTCTGGACTCATGCACACACATGTTATATTATTATATAACAACAATGGTCTATAATAAAAACAATTGTATTCAGGTTGTGTGTTTAACGTTTACTTGATGGGTAATAATATCTGCTTTCCATGCTGATATGGCAAATCAGATTTCAAAGGCAACAGCTCGGCTTAACACACTTATGTAACTGTAATTGATGGTGGGAGGGATGTAAAATGCTGGCTTCAAGGACTCTCACATTCTCCCTGTGTTGCTTTTGTTGATACGACGACCAAGGAAGTCAGTTGTCACTGCTCATCCAGTACCGGAGAAACTACTAATTGATTTGATTGATAAATTGCTTTATACTTAAGTGTGAGGTCTGCTCACTCCAAACATATTTTACTCACCAACAGATCAGCTTACAGTTTACAGTTCCGCGTATAGACTTGGCATGTCTGTTCATGACAATGTCATCTGTCAATGTACAGATGGTGACAGATGGTGTATTAAGTCCATATGGATGCATTTTTGTGAGACTACATCTATAAGAATTACAATTTCATGGGATGTGATATGCTAGATTTTTTAGGGTTGCATCTGGTTTCCACATGTTTCTTACAACCACACTAAAATCTCTGACTTGTTGAACATTTTTGACAATAGGCTACTAGTCCACCCAGCTTTTGGTTCTCTGAAAGACTCCCTTGTTGCAGCACATCTGTCTTTACCAACATAGCATAGAAAAAACCTTTTTTTAACCATAAAAAAGATCAATAATTATTGATTAAATAATACTGTTCCATTTAGTTGTGGTAATACCCCAGAAATCCAGCATGTACAATACAGAGGCCTTGCAAGCAGAACACCTGAATCTAACATTTTAATGTTGTCAGTGGGCCTGACAAGTCAAAAAATTAACTTTTGGTGCATTTCTTTCCTTAATCAGCTTGCACTTTAAATAGATGTACTGAAGCACTGAAGCTTTAGTGATGTCCCTCATTTGTAAGTCACTTTGTCACAAAACCATCTGCCAAATGATTAAATGTAAATGCAAAATGTATGCTCCTAAAAAGCCATGCTGTAAAAGTGATATTAAAAAAGTATTCAGATTTGTCTCATTTTACTTAAATGTTCCGCTACCTACAGTCTAGACTACCTCTTCTTTGGAAAAGCTTTGGTACAAACTATAGTACACATTGAGATCCGATCACTCAGAACACATTCAGAGGTGATTTGGGCTACATTCTTTTAGGAGTCTGAATGCAAATGTCTCCAGGGCTACACTGAAGGACCTGATCTACTAACGTCTTCTGCTAGAGCTACGCAGCTTTGCAATGAGGGTGAACAAGTGGTCACTCAAAAAGCCTGTTGAGACTGATTTTAATCCCAGGTTTGAACTGAAGTAGTAGGCCTACATAGGGCTGCTCACTTTTAATCAGATCTCCTTAAATGCATGTTAATGCCAGGTCTGAACAGGGCTTTACTTTATGTGCCCAGTTGAGTTACATTTAATGTAGCTGTAGGCTATAATAGTTTTAAGCAGAAATTGAAAAAAACCACATACTTCACTATGTCAAGTTAAATTTGACCCTGATACTTATTTCCAGTTTGAACATCCAAGAAAAATCCTAAATGCTAAAAAAAAATCCTACTAAAATCTTAAACTCAGAGATGTGTTCTGTGTTGAATTGATACGGGACATGCTTTGTTCTGTATTTTTGAGAATCATTTCCTTGTTTTTAATTCTTTTGTAGTTGTGCCCAAATTTCACTGCCCCTAGTGATTTTTATTATTTGCAGATATATCTAATAACCACCACCGCCCCTAAAAAAAAAGACGTAGTATATGGCTGTATGGGTGTGTGAAATTGTCGTCAATTTGCTACAGGGATATTCTGTTCAGTGTATGAGAAATTTGGAATGAGCTGCACTGTTCGCTTCACCAGTTCATTTTGAAAGAGCTATCGCTCATGGGAAAACTCTATTACAAGGCTGACCAAAGGTGTAACTTCTTCAACTAACTCATTCAGTCAGTCAGGGACAGTTTTTTAAGGGCTGGTCCCGCTGTTGCCAAAAAGAAAAAAGAACGATGAGCTGTTATTTCAACAGGGAAAAGAACGGAGCAATAAGATCCTACTTCCTTCAAAGAGCCATAAATCCCAGCACTAGTGTTATGTTCCACTAAACAGAAAATAGTGACATAACTAACGCTGTCAGCATTGCTACAATACACCTGACAGTGGCACATGATTAAAACTGGAATTACCGCCTCGCAGTTGTCTGCCTCCGCCACTCAGGCTACTTCCCTGTTTATGCAGAGTCATATAAAATATTAACCATTTGTGTGAAATGTCATAATTGCTGTGTGAAGTATTGAGTAACACCTAAAAAGTGTTTTTTGAAGTCACCATGACCTTGACCTTTGACCTTTGACGCTCAAAATCAAATCAGTTCATCACTTATAAATGTTTGTGCCAAATTTGAAGAAATTCCATCAAGGCATTACTGAGATATCGTGGGACAGATGTACAGATTTACAGTATGCACAGAGAACCTGAAAACAATATGCTGGTTGTCGCTGACATGGAGGTATAAAAGCAAGGGTTGTCCACATGCAAAATAAGAAGAGAACACAGAAATACAGAAGGGAATGAGAAAATGATCACCAATGGCTCCTTTTGCTCAAAAATGCAAAACTGATCAAATTCAGGTTTGTGTGTTTTTTTGTCTTAATGTTCATACATATTTTTTACATGTAACAAATATGTATGAAATGTTAAATTGCAACCAGTGTCTCTCCTTTGATTTACATTTTTGACTGAAAGGTGATAAATTGTGTTTAAGGCAGCTTTACAGCTAGAGGGGCTGAGATTAGAGATGAGCTGCTGACAGCACTAATAACACACATACCTGAGGACCTGCACATTGTCTTTATATGTGTGATCTCTGTATGTGTTTTCTCTGTTAAAAGAAAATTCTTGAATGAGTACATGCCAATGTGATGATGAAGTATCAAAGGGCTTTGACAGGGGATTCTTTGCCTGGGGCCCCCCAGAGTCTAGGGTTAGGATCGCCACTGATTGACCTTATAGTGACCCAGTTCATTGAGTGAAAGAGCAAGCACAATGCTGAGAATTAATTCATCACACCAGGTGATCATCAACCTGCTACTTGCAATTGCATGACAGCTGAACAGTAAAAAGCCTCCCAGATGGTTGGACGTGTGTTGTGTTGTTGTTCTTAGTTTGCTAGTTTGCTTTGCAAGCTACCAATTATTTCACACTGATAGAAGCTGAACTACAGTAAACAGTGCCAGCCCTGACTAATTTGGTGCCCTTGGGAAGATTTTAGCTGGCGCCCCCCTTGCATCATAGTCAGTTTCACTACCAATGTTCATACACTCACACAGAAACTGCATAGCTTAAATAGAATGTAAAATAACCCACAAAATAAAAAATGTTTTAGAAACAAGTGACATAAATTAAATTATAAATACAATATAAATAAGGCATTGCACAAAATAAAATATTAAAGAAACCAATGAAGACATAAAAAATTGTTGCACAAACAAAAAATATTAACTGCAAATGCAATATACATAATGTAGCTGCATAATATGTTCTACAGCACACATGGGCAAGTATTGACTTGTGCTGACAATCCGCTAGTGTCTTGCTTTCATATTGAGTCGTCCAAGTCGATCCCCCTTGATCCAAGTCGATCGAGGGGGAAGGTCTGCATACTGTCCCTACCCAAGCGATCAGGTGATTACATGTTTTTTGTCTTCATTTGGTAGGTGAATCTAGTACTGACACAGATTTATTAAAACAGCTGTATTCACAGCATGTCTATATGTAATTTATATATCAGATATGTTTGCTATATCAATATCAATATCAATTTTGAGATGTTGTAATCATATGTAATGTTCTGATGTTGTAGTATGGTATAGTTGAGGTTTTGGGCTAGCCCTGCATAAATACAAAGGGATATTCACTCTGAAAGTGTAATTTTTGTTATGCGAAATAAAAGTGTAAATTTATGCTGTGCCACCTTCATTAACTCATAGCCAGTTACATCTGGGATGATGCTTATACCTCTTGATGAATCTCACAAGTGTTGCCTTTCTTTTGACAGATTAAGAAGATTGAAGATTATACATGTAGACATTATTTCAGCAGATGAAGGAGGAACAAACCAGGCTTAGTTTGTCATCGTTGTTATGGACAAACTCTAGAATATGTGTGTCATTCTATAATCTTGGGTAGATTTCACAGAAAGACAAAAGTATTGTGCTTTTCTCAATAAGATAAAAAAGTCAAAATATTCCTTCAGTGTAATTTATTCGCTAGTTTAACAACTTTTATGAT